AGCCATCCTTCTTCTTGTTGCCAATCGAAACAGGAGAGACCTTGGGAGTTAAGGTTTACGATGTAAATCATAAAAGGGAGAGAGCATCCTTGAATACAGGTAGCTGGGAAGATAATGAGTGGCCCCCTCAACGTATTATTAATTATTATGGACCTACTACTTGGGCAGAAGATGGCACTTATGGATATAGAACTCCGATTATATATGCTCAACCGCATTATTAGACTACGGGCGGTAGTTGAGATTATTACTAATGACACAGCTCAAGTGCTTAATCTTCTAGCTAAGCAAAATACCAAGATGTGATCAGCCATATACCAGAATAGGCTAGCCCTTGATTACTTACTAGCAGTAGAAGGAGGTGTATGCGGAAAGTTTAATCTAAGTAACTGTTGTCTGCACATAGATGATGAAGGGCAGGCAGTGGCTGAACTTACAAGCCACATGGTTAAATTTGAGCATGTACCTACTCAGGTCTGGAATGGGTATAACCTAAGTAGTTGGTTTGGAAGTTGGTATGAGCAGCTTGGAGGAATTAAGACATTAGTAGGAGGAGTAGAATTTATTATATTTTTTTTGTGCCTCCTCCTGCCCTGTCTAATTCCACTAGTGGTAAGGTCCCTACGTAGCATTATAGAGAGTACTATAGAGAGAAAGACAGCTGCCCATGTAATGGCTGTCTGGAAGATATGATCCCCTAGCCCGAAGAGAATATATTTAGGATGAAGAATGTTGAAGGAGTTTTTAAGATGCTTACAAGGTCTACTCTGGTTCAATGGCTACTTGAGAGATGTAGGTAAAACTGTGATTGGTGATGCATCTGGAATAATGTTATATCAGAGGCATCAAAAGGGGGGAATGTGATGGGATTCCAGCATGGTCAAAATTTAGTAGGCCAAAATCTCCATGTGGCATATGTGTATGTTGTGTCAGTTGGTTAGCTACATGTAGCTAGGATACTGTCATCAGTGTACTGAGCATGTGCAGGAATGCAGGAACTGAAATTGCACTTATTTCCTTTGTCTTGGATGAGCCATGTGGTTTGACTAGATGTACAAGTCTATATTCTGCTCATTGATTGGTTAAAGGTATATGTGGGTGTAGCTATTAATGGGAGGAGTTATAGTGCTATATAAGGAATGTACACTATGTGTTGGTCTCTCAGAATGTTGGAACAGGAGTTCATCTGAGACCCGATCGGTAATGTGAATAAAGGCCTGTTACTTCCTGAAGACCTGTGTCCAATATTTCTGTGTTTGGCTTCTGCATGCTTACACTGCAACAGTAGAGGTTAACACAGTGAAGGTTTAAGCATGCGTAGGATCGGCATAAGGCTTTACTAGCCAGCCAGGGACTAATGAATGTATTTCGAAAATTGGGCAGACTAATGGGCTGAATGTTTCTTATCTGCCGTAACATTCTATGTTTCTATGTGTATGTATACCTGCATGTCTGTGTATGTGTACCGGTTTGTGTATATGCGAGTCAGTGTGTGTAAGTGTGTATCTATGCAGTTGGCAATGCATACATCCCATCATTCCAGTGCCAACACTGCATACAAAAACACTACTACATTCCAACGCTTAAACTGCACTCAAATACAGCAATGCATGTGTATCTGTGATCCTGTGTGTATCTCAGTGTTTGTGTGTGTGGCAATGCATACATACCAGCATTCCTACACCAACACTGCACACAAATTCATCCCTGCATGTGTACCTCTGTGTATGTGTACCTGTGTGTCTGTGTGTTTCTTAGTATGTGTACATATCTGTGTGTGGATGTGCCAATGTTTTTATCACAAGTGTGTGTATCTGAGTGTGTGTGTCTGTATCTGTGTGAATCTGAGTGTATTTGCAAGTGTGTTTGTGTCAGTGTGTTGATGTGTCCAGGTGTGTTCATGTGTCAGTGTGTTTGTGTGTAACTGCGTTCTAATGTGTATGTATATCTGTGAATGTATAAAAGGCATACATCCCAGCAATCAAACACAACATGTAAACACACCCCTGCAAACACAAACATTACATATAAACACACCCCTGAATTCTGTCACATATTCATCCACTTATAGAAATGTGGTTAATGACATTTACTGTCCACACAGGAAAAGTTGTGCCGAGCAGCAACCTAATCCACAGAAGGGTTAATGCTGAGCAGTAATTGTGCAAATGAAACCTGGTGTCATGTATTCATCCGCTTATAGAAAAGTGGTTAATGACATTTACTGTCCACACAGGAAAAGTTGTGCCGAGCAGCAACCTAATCCACAGAAGGGTTAATGCTGAGCAGCAATTATGCAAATGAAACCTGGTAACTGACTTTGGGGTCAAAGGCCGGTTACAGCCTATCAGAACTAAAGGAGGGGTATTTAGGCCCAGTTCTCAGCCTGCTCAGTGCCCTGTCGTGGTTTCCCTTGTGGTTGTCTGAGAGCGCGTTCCTGTTTATAGTTTTCTACCTGGTTTTTGACTTTGGCTTTGTTTATTGACTTCTCTATATTCTGGTATCCTGACTCCTGGCTTTCCTCATCGCTGTGTCCCTTTCTGTGTTCCCTGACCTTGGCTAGTATTTTTGACTATTCTTTGTACGTTAAATCCGGCCATTCTAAGGACCGGTAATACGTTACTTATTTGTCATCCGTGCTGTACAGTTCTACGTGCTGGATCAAACAGTAATCCTGACAAATTCAAACTCAAACGCATGCAATGCTATCACGGCTCGCGAGAGGAAAGGGCATGCTGCTGCTGGAGGGTGCAAGATGACTCCTGGGTCCTTGCTATAGCCACCAGACCACCAGGAAAATGTGTCCCCCCCCCTACCTGGCCACAGGTAGGAGGCAGGGAAGGGGGAAATAGTGTGATGTATGTGTGGATGTAGTGTGAGTGTAGTGCATGTAGTGTGTTTTGTATGCAGTGTGTGTTTGTTGTGTGGGATACCGGGGGAAGCGGGTGCAGTTTTTTTTCAATTTGTTCAGCTTATTCCCTCCTCACTGCCTCTTGCCTGAGGAGGGAAGGGGGGAATAAGCCCAACTAATTAAAAATTAGTTTTTCCCAGTACTTATCCCACACAAAAGACACTACATCCACTAGACAAACACACACTGTATCCACTACACACACACTACATGCACTACACAAACACACACTGCATCCACTATACAAATACACTGCCTCGGCTACACAAAAACACACACTACATGCACTACACAAACATGCACACTACACAAACATGCACACTGCATGCACTACACAAACACACAAACTAACAAACACGCACACTACATGCACAGGGCCGGACTGGCCCACCGGGATACCGGGAAATTTCCCAGTGGGCCGCGGCCCCTGGGGGGATGGAGAGAGAGGGAGCCCTGCTCCCTATATTTTAATAATATTGCGGTCCGGCAGCACACTCTGAGGTGATTAGTCACCTTGCGGCTGGCGGCCCCATCTCCTGTGCTGACAGCTATGCTGATGTCAGTATCAGTGAGTGTGCCGGGCGGCTGCCTTAGCGATCCAGCAGCACACTCACTGATACTGACAGCAGCATAGCTGTCAGCACAGGAGGACTGAGGGAGGGGGCGGAGCTAACGAACATGCTCCCTCGCAGTTCCCACAATTCCCAGCATCTACACATGCATGTGTGTACCTGTGTGTCTGTTTGTATTTGTATGTGCGTTTGTATCTGTGTATTTGTGTCAGTGTTTGTGTCTGTGTAGTTGCATGCATGTCAGTATCTGTGTGTGACTGTGTGTCTATGTATCTGCATGTGTGTACCTATGTGTCTGTGTATATGCATCTGTGTGTGTAGCTGTGTGTCTGTGTATCTTCATGTGTGTATGTGTATCTGTCTGGCAGTGTGCATCTGTATGTCTATATATTTGCAAGTGTATCAGTGTGTGTATATGTGTGTGTGTATATGTGCATACATTTCAGCATCTTGCCAACACTACACGCAAATCCACCCCTGTATTCAAACCTCAACACTACAAACACATCTAAGTATTAGAACACCAACATTAAAAAACACACTACACACAGATGCACATCTGCATTCAAATGCCAACACTATATGCAAACACACACCTACATTCACTTACATACTCCATACAAAAACATGCTTGCATTCAAACACACAAGCACTGCTCAGTGCTAAATACATTAAAAACAGTTTGCATTTTTTTCTTTACATTTTAAAGTTGGGGTGCTAAACTTATGATCCACCCCGGGTGCCAAATGCTCTAGGTACGCCCCTGAATTCTAGTAATTAAGGCACTAAATAAGAAGAACATGTGCCTTGGTCATGAAAGTTTTTCATAAATATATTAAAATATCTTATCTGTATAGTTTGTGAATATTAAACTCTCTGACATTATACATGACTAAAAACCTCTAAGTGCACTGCACACGCATGCAAACTTCTTCAATCAACATTCGCCCTAATATCTGCTTCGTTTAGTTTGACAGGCCTTAGTTACATTCTACAGTATAACTCACCATTCAGGTAGTCTAACCTAATTGGTTTTAATGCCATATCTTCCCCGAAGCATCATATTCAACACTATTGGTGGCTTACTGCAAACATCAAACACATACTTGTTCTGTACCCAAGTTTAGTGTATGAGCTACGCCGGTGTTCCCTATACTTAACCCATATTGCCATCCAATGCATAATTACCAGCCGGTCTGACAACTGCTTTTAAATTACACAGATTACAGGATACTATCCTTTTTCTGCAAGAAAAAAATTTTAATTATTTTTTTTTGAAGCAGGTGTGAGATTCAAAGTAATGCAAACAGCATTAAAACAGCATTGCTAAGGACAAGAAAGAAAGAGAACTATTAGACCTTGGGTTAAATTTCTGTAAGGTAGAGTACTGTACATACTTATTATACAGCCAAACATTCCTGTTTTTATCATATGTAGATTTTTACTGATTGCATGCAAACCTGCAGGTGTGTCAGCTTGGGGCGCGGTTCGCGTCAGGGAAATACTACTTCTCAGATCAGTGATCTCTGCACCACTCTCTGTGCCAAGTGCAGGAGTTAATTACTCAGGCCTGCAGATAACGTGGAATTAAGCTCTTATTGCACCAAAACAGGGCAGCCATAAAGAACTGTAGAGATACAACTTCAAAGAAGAGGCAGCTTAACCTCAACCACAAAGATATATCGCACACCACTCTCAGGTAAAATTAAAGATGTTGGCTTTGTTATATAAAATAAGATGTGCAGTTACTGGGTACATGGACATTAAAATGTTCCTGTAGAAATCTCTCCACGTAATATAGAAGTTTCTAAATGGGCTGATTCTAAAATTATTCAACCATAGTGTTGCTTAAATATGTTATGGTTCTTTGTCAAAAAGTGGTCCTAATCCTGATATTGAATGGCTCACTCATTTAACATTACAGGCATTAACGCATCATCCTGGTTTTTAAAGGGGAACTGTTACTTCTCATTTTTTTTTATATTATGTTTACTTATCCCTATATTTAATAATTCTGAATTGGTGAGGTGTAAAAAATAAAATAAAGTGTAGAAATGCACATGCATTTATCCTGCAACTGGACGCCTCCATCTCCGCTCCCTGTCAATCATTGTTATAGGTTCGGTCCTTTGCACCTGGCAGTCAGCAGACAAAACATAAATAAAAGAGGAAAAAGGATACAGTGTTTCTTCTTCTCCTCTTCATTTGCAGTGATTGCCTTGGCTTTTCCTGGTCTATACTGTTTTATGATGTTTTTCGCTTAATCTTTAATTTAAATTTAACAGAAAAGGTTTTGCATGAGAAAAGTTAACTCAAGCTATAGGTGATGTGAATTCCAGAGAAGTGATAGTTCCCCTTTTAGAAACAGATTGTGATGATATAATGTCTATTTATTCTACTAAGATTCTATGTAGAAATACTAAAATTCAGAATTCTTTTTATAACTTCTGACAATTCACACTTGGATGAATAACCCTGAGAGGAGCTGATTCCTGGAAAAAAAGAACAATTTGCTGCTTTGCTTATCTTATATTCTTTTTTTTTGTTTTGCTTAGTAAGTAATCATGTGGAGTGAGACGTGATAAAAAAGCGAACTGGTTTACATTTTATAGTTGTTGTTTTTTGGACAAAGGTCAATAAGTCAGGGTTGCAGGGGATACCGACACATCAATTTAATGAACTATAAAAAAACTAATTGTTGACTAGTTACTGACATCCTTTTATTTACAATATTGTGATCAGGAAAGATCTAATTGGCTTTTCTTTGCACAGAGGAAATGATCGCTATAAGTCCAAGTAACTTGTAATGACAATTTTCACAAGAATACTCATGATTTTTCACAAGGATATACTCATATGATTTTTAAAATCTATATTTCTACAGTTTACAATAGTAATGAGTGTGCTTAACTTTAAATAGAATAATAAGGTGGGTTCATGGTAGTGTCACTTTACCGACATCCATAACTGAGTCATTTGTATATAAGTAGGGGTTTCCTGTATGATATGCTAGTAAGAACATCACCAACTGGAATCATAAGTCAGAAATAGAGAAAAAGAATTCAGTCCCACACTCAGTGACCCTGGCAATCTTCCCTGTTCCCATTCACCAGAGACACTGCGAAATGAGTAGAAACCCAGATACGATATCGGGATTGTAGCTAAACCCACAGGCTGATAGTACCCTCAATCTCAGCTTGGCATCATAGGAATTGTAGTCTGCAGCTGGTGGAGTGCTGGAAGTTGCCTATCCATGCTATTAGAAAGAGAAATCAAAATCATTGACATTTGTAAGTATTCAGTTATTCTATTTCTGTCCTTTTTAACTCTTTCGTTTAGGTAGTTTATTTTTTTTACCCAATATTTTACATTGATATTTACTAAAGTGTGAATTGTCGAGTATGCAAAGTAACTTCAAAGAAAATGTCTAATTTTATGCCACAATAGCCAAATTGGAAAAATTATCCGTCAGCTATGCTTTCAGTTTAGCTATTTTCCCTTGTTATTTGAAATTCACTTTGAATTACCAACAATTCATACTTGACATGGTTATGTGCTAAACACCAAATTGTTGCATTATAAAATCTGAATTGCAAAGCTCAGAATAATATAACCAAGGTGTAAAAATAAATTCCTAACAGATTAATCCTGTTTTCTAACAACCAAGATATAGTAAGCGTAACTATAAACACCAAGAGAACGTATGACAGTTTACAGTATAGAAGTATTCAAGAAGATTTTGTCTAAGGCAAAGGAAAAGTTTTTTTTACTGTAAGAACAATCAGGATGTGGAATTCTCTGCCTGAAGAAGTGGTTTTATCAGAGTCCATATAGATGTTCAAATGGCTACTAGATGCATACTTGCAAAAACAGAATATTCAAGGATATAATCTTTCAATGTAGGGTAATAACTGCTTGATCCAAGGATAAATCTGACTGCCATTCTGCGATCAAGAAGGAATGTTTTTCCTTGCTTGTTGCAAAATTGTGCTTTTTTTTGCCTTCTTTTGGATCAACAGCAAAAAACAAATGTGAGGTAGGCTGAACTTGATGGACGCAAGTCTCTTTTCAGCTATGTAACTATGTAACTATGTAACTATATGTAATTTTACAATAGCAACACAATCTGCAATCCTTGAGTGACTATACTGATATTAAACATGCTGCATATAAGATGGGATGACAGTATCCAGCTAGAATGGGAGATTTACTTATTAGCAGAGATACACTAAACATCAGTGTATCAAACATGAAGCCTAGTGTCGGTGAAAATTAAAAACATAAAGTGTGACTGTTTTAAATACCAGCTCTGCTATGGACTGTCTTTCTGAATTAGTGACTGGTAGCTATGCCTGGAGGCTTTTAGCTAGAGAGCGAGGAGTGAGGAAAATGTGATATTTAGTCCGGATGTGACCTGGGGGTGTACCAGAAACATGGACAGTAAATTTCGATGACACTTTGTGTCTTTCTAACTCTTCTCTTTATAGTAACAACCCCTGGATGTTGGGCAACGGTAACATCCCCAGGACGTACTTGAACGCCAGTGTAATCTGAATGTACCTTTCCTGATGAAATATGTTGTTATTATTATTATTTCTAGCTGGATAACTATATTTACTAATTGTTTTTCCAACTGTGTTTCTCTTTATGAGTTTGCTGATTTAATAGTGAAAAATGTAAATTTAGGAACTTTTGTTGGATTTGTTAGATTTGGTGTAAGCAGTATAACCATATATATTCAGGAGGAACGTACATGTTGGAGCTGAGCTTGATAGGCAGGTCACTGAGAAGGACCACATATAAAGCCTATTATGACGGTGATTTCCCCATAGAGGCAGAACACAAGCGTGAGAAAGGGAGTGTTCTTGAAGTGTAATTACAGATGCAGAAGGTGCTTATGTCTACAATGTTGAGAGACACATATGTAATTCACTAGGGGTGTCTGTACATAGAACGGTGATAGGCTGTTGTATATGCTGTGTTCCCGATGATGGGATGTGTCTTGTTATATGTAACAGTATTGACTATTAGCATTGTTACAACTGAGCAATTCTAGACAGGGATATCTCCCATATATTGGGTTTCTCTTCATTTTTAGGGTCCCAGTGCTGGAATAACCTGGCAATTCAGACATACAGATATATAAGCCTGTATGTCCTTTTGAATAATTATTTTGATTTAGGTCTCACCTTTATGTCCCATATCCAGTTTATTGCCAAAGCCTGCTGATTCTACCTTAAAAACATTGCTGGCGTCCACACCTTTCTTACCAGAGATACTACTAAGTAACTTGATCATGCTCCCTGTAATTTCTTGCATTGACTACTTTAATTCTCCCCTAAATGGTCTCTCTAGTCACTATACTGACTCTCTACAGTAAATAAAGAATTCTGCTGTTTGGCTGATTTTCCTCTACCTATGGGAACCCATTCAAAATATTAAACCTTACCTACAAACAACTCTACCTCCTCCTCCGATACATGCCATCACTAGTTCATAGGTACACCCCTTCTTCGGCGCTCCACTCTCCCGGTGACCATCTCTTCTCCGCTAGTCGTACCCGTACTGCTAACTCGCAATTGCAGGAATTCCGCTGGGCAGCTCTGTTTCTATGGAACAGCTTGCTTTCTCCCATCAGACTCTCTCCTAGTCTAGTATCTTAATCTTTAAGACATCCCTTAAAACACATCTTTTCTAGAGAGTCTACGGTCTCTCTGGGTAAATGTCACTTTTTAAATCCATCTATTACTCTCTAAACTTAACTGCCCTTCACTCTCACATTCAAATTCTGCCACTGTCCCACCCTGTCACACACTGACACATCAGTTCACTATAACCACTAAATCGTATTGTGGTGGTTCTGGAGCCAGCAAGACCCCTTTGTTTTTCAAGAGATTTAAAACAAAAAAAAAGCAAAAAACAACGGAAACCCAGTACCCAAAGCTTTGGGGTTTTGAGGTTTTGCCTGTTTTTCTGTAGGTAAGTAGAATTTGGGCTCACGGATCATAATTCACAACCCTCTCTGCCCCACAAATGAACACAAGCTAAGGAACCCTAGCTGTTGCTAATTCGATGATGTGAGAAGTCTGACAGTGATTTCAGCATGGCAAATGTTCATGTACCAATAAAAATATTAACTGAATAATGAAGAAAGTAAAACTTCCTTGTCATCACGTCCAAAACTAATAACTATTTTATTTAATTATTATGTAAAACAAACAAACTGCTGAATATGTTTCAAAATGGGCAAGACAGTGAAAAGAAAATGTTTGATTACCATGTTATTATAAATAAATTACTTTCACTAAACTGAAATGGTGGAATTAAAATGAAAATATAAAAACGCAAGCTAAAATAACCGACTATAACTAATTAGTTAGAATATTTCTACACATTTCTGCCGTTATATACAATTAGGATAATGGAGATAGAGATAGGGGATCATCTTGCACCTTTACATGTGCAGGGAATATAAGCATACGATGAGATATATGACTGACAAATCTGATTACTCCAGACACAAACTTTGTGTATCACACCATTTTCACTCAGTCCTCCCAGTCACCAACAAACTGGCTTTGTCCCAGAGTGTCTGGAGGCTAAGATTATTAAAGGACCACTATAGGCACCCAGACCACTTCAGCTCAATGAAGTGGTCTGGGTGCCAGGTCCCTCTAGTTTTAACCCTGCTGCTATGTTTCACTGAGGGTTAATCCAGAAAATCACAGTGAGAAGACGCTGGACGTCCATAGGAAAGCATTGAGTAATGCTTTCCTATGGGCAGTTTGAATGCGCGCGCAGCTCTTGCCGTGCATACGCATTTGGATCTGACGTCAGCAGAGGGAGGAGAGGTCACCAGCACCGAGGGAGCCCAGCGCTGGAGAAAGGTAAATGGCTGAATGGGTTTTAACTCCTTCAGTCCAGCGGGACAGGGGCTCTGAGGGTGGGGGTGGACCTAATGACCCTATAGTGCCAGAAAAACTAGTTTGTTTTCATGGCACTATAGTGGTCCTTTAAGCACACGTCTAATGATATTTTAATTAAGCTCATGTACAAGCACACCAGCAACACCAACGGGGTTATTCACCAAAGTTTGAATTCAAAGTGAATTAGTATTTGAGATTTCTTTCCAAGTTAGCTATGTTTGCCTTAAATTTGAAATTGGCTGTGAATTCTCACTGTAGTGAATAACCCTTGTAACTGACAAGCAGTCATCCCTTTGTTGGCTAATTGTATTATAGGCCCATCCACTGATTCATTTTCTGTCCCAATATTAGAGTTGTCAAAGTAGGGAGCCGTGTTACCCACTAATCTAGTGTATAAAATGTTTATTTTGTATTCTGTGAGGTAACTCTTAATAGATTTTTTTCCCATAGCTATTTTTTCTCATTTTAGTGACTTTTTTTTCTTCCAGTATATCTACTGTTGCCCACTAAGTCTGTGCCCTAAGATTCCAGTTGCAATGTCAAAGTCACAGATGACTACATGCTGGGTTACTCACTAAACACTTGATTTTGTCTGAATGGAAAATGACCAAATTCTTACCACATTGGTAATTCACATATTTACTAAATCCAAATGAAGTCAGGATATGGTCGTTTTGACCGATTCTGTATCATTTGTCAGGAAAATCAGTTCTATGTGAACGACTATAAAACATATAAACCGGACATTTACCTACTGAATATAAACCAAACACATTCTCCAACATGTGCATTAACAAAATATAATGCACTTGCTTTTTGCTGGTGAATGATAATTCGAAGTGCTATTTGCCTGGCAGTGCTAGTAGCTGGCAGACAAATAGATTTTAAAAAAAAACCTTAACAATGCAAGGGTAAAGCAGGGATAGCCTGCCCCCATATTAAAAAAGTAAAATAAATAAATCAATTATATTACTATAAGAGAAGTTTTAGACCTCCCTATGACCAAACCTGCCATGCGTACTGATTAGAATGAGTCTTGATACCCAGTAGCTGAAGAAGTATTGTTTGGTAGACAGAAAATCGGTCCAGATCACATTTTTGTTTTGTGGTGTTCCCCCTTCCCTTCTTTTGTTTATGTTTGCACTTATTTCCCTTACACACTTAGTTTTTTTTGTCCTTCTGCCATGTATATTAATTGTTACAATAAGCCAGCATATTCAATGAATGTTTCCTGCCGATGTTCCTGGCAACATTTGGGATTGCGGTCCATTTTTTTTTTTTTGCAACTGAGTATGTATGTTCTGGTGAGTAGAATCATTCCCTTCAGGCTATTTTCTGTAAACACTGCCTTTTCAGAAAAAATGCAGTATTTACATTACAGCCTAAAGGAGGCATAGGCAACCTTCAGCACTCCAGATGTTTTGGACTACACCTCCCATGATGCTTTACCAGCATTATGGGTGTAAGAGCATTTTGGGGGATATAGTCTACAACATCTGGAGTGCCAAAGGTTGCCTATCCCTGGCCTAGAGATAACTCCACTGGCCACTCCTCCGATGGCTACTAGAGGTGCTTCCTGGGGCAGCACAGTGTGCAGCAATGCCATTCAGTATCTTCACCCTCTGCATGGAGACACTGAACTTTCCTCATAGAGATGCACTGATTCAATGCATCTCTATGAGGAGATGCTGATTTGGCCAGGGCTGTGTTTGTGCTGGCTCTGCCCCTGATTTGCCACCTTGACAATCTCAGCCAATCCTAGCATTGTGATTGGTTCAGACCACCACTTCTGATGATGTCAACATACAGTTGGCAGATCAGAGGCAGCAGCTGCAGACTTGAATACAAGTTAGATTCTACTATATTTAGGGGGCGTGGAGGTGCCCGGGTGACTACATGGTGGTTTTAACACTATAGGGTCACCACAGGGTTTGGGTTCCTATCGTTATAGTGTTCCTTTAAGGTAAAACATTCTGCAAATCAACTATGCTTCCAGTTTGGCTATTTTGGCATTAAATTTGAAATTCACTTTTCATTCTCACTTAAGAGAATGACCCTGTAAAAGTCAATTGAAAGGGGCTCTATGGCCTCAATATATATTTTTTCATGTGTAAGACTGTTTTTTCAAAAAATCTTTGTCTAAAATTTGGTGTCGTTTTATACACAGAAAAATACGGTAATTACTTTGAATCAGCATCATTGATTATTCCATTCTGTTAGTTTTATACTGAATGGAATTAAATCAAAACCTATGTCGGCCAATTTGATTTGTTGACATTTCTTTCCAAGTTAGCAAGTGCAGAAATCTACTTCCCAGTTGGTGCTTTTCTAATTAAAATTCATTTATTTGAAGATCAGCTCAATTTACTGCTGGTTCAACTAATGTTGTGTGCTACTCCCAGTAAGTCACAGTTCCTGTAATAATGAAGTTTATCACTGAACACTGTTTTTGTTTTTAAGAAATCTGAAAAGGAAGTTGTAAAATTTAGTCAAAAACAGATGAGCTAATATTTAACAATTCAGTTCAGTTTGCTGTTTCAGGATTGTCAAGTCACATAGTTTTCTTGTATGATGCATGGTCATCTACTCAGACACCCGGTATCAAGAGGACTCATAGAAAGTGTGCCAAAACCACACAAATCTGGACATGTCAGCAGCACTCATCATATAAACAGCCTGTCGTCATGGCACATATGTATATAGACATATCGCTCCCACCGCTAATTGCATCATGAATATACCTATCTAATGTCACTGCCCCTTCCTCTTCTGATATCAGACCTGCCATCTTGACAGGTACGCTCTTTAGTGAATAAACCCTTTAGCTCACTTATGTAAGAGTGGGCTTACAACAGGATTCTCCAATTTAACTATTTTGGAATATCTTTTTTTCCATTCCGTTATCATCTGGCTGTTTTACTGCTAACTATAGTGGATTTATTCTCAGTGGTTTGTTAAAAAAAACCCTCATCAACCACAATAATAAAACCATTGACGGGTGAAATGAAAAACATTGATTATATCATTACAATGGAACCTGTCGTAGTTGGGATATACAAGGCAGCAAGTGATCAGTCAGTTCATAAAGTTCATGTGTTGGAAGCAGGAAAAATGGACAAGTGAAAGTTCTGAGTGATTTTGACAAGGGTCAAATAGTGATGGCTAGATCACTGGGTCAGAGCAACTCTAAAACAGTAAGTCTTGTAGGGGGGTTTCCATTATGTAGTGGTTAGTACCTACCAAAAGTGGTGCAAGGAAGGACAACCAGTGAACTGGCATCAGCATCATGGGTGCCCAAGGCACATTGATGAATGTGAGGAGCAAAGGCTAGCCCACCTGGTCTAATCACAAAGAAGAGCCTCTGTAGCTCAGATAGCTGAAAAAAAATATTTTGGCCATGATAGAAAGGTGACAGAGCACACAGTGCATCACAATTTTCTGTGTATCGGTCTACATAGCCCTAGATCAGGTCAGATTGCAGATGATGATCCTTGCCACCTCCAAAAGTGTTTTCAGTGGGGACATGAGCATCAGAACTTTACAATGAAGCAATGGAAGCAGGTTGCCTGGTCTGAGGAGCTATTTCCTTTAGATCAGGTGGAGGCTGGGTGCAATTGTGTTGATGAACTATGGGAAAAAGGCAATGTTATACTATTAACAATGTCCTGCATCCTGTCACACTGCCTAAATTGTTCAGAAATGGTTTGAAGAACATGACAAAGAGTTCAAGCTGTTACCTTGGCCTCCAAATTCCCCAGATCTCAATCTGATTGATCTGTGGGGTGTGTTAGAACAAATCTGATCCATAGAGGTCCCACCTTCCAGCAGATCATGTCTTGGACTTAAAGGATCTGCATCTATCGTCTTGGTGACAGATACCACAGGACACGTTCAGACGCATCACACCAGTTTTGGCAGCACAAGAGGACCTACAAGAAATTAGGTGGATTTAATGTTGTGACTGATCAGTGTATGTATTGTGGACAACTGACAAGGACATTTCAAATTTTAAGTCAAATAACTGAACTGGAAAACTATAATTTCGCGATGATTTCTATTTTAAGTGAATTAATATTATTTAAGTTATATAGTATCAGCATATTACATAACACTTTGCAATAATACATTGGGGAGATAAAAAAAATAGTATTGGCATACAAAGTTATTTTGACAGAAACTAGGGGTTGAGAGGGTCCTGCACGCAATCTAAGAATAACCTTGACCCTTAACAAAATTTGACTATGATGGTATTGAGGAAATAAATACCAAGTGATAGACTAGTAAGCGGTTATTATGTGGAGATTTTCTGGGGTATTCTAGATAGTAGTTCTCAAGTATAATAAGGCATAAAACTCATCCAATAATTAGTCAGCAACAATGCAACGTTTTAGATAAATTATCTCCTAATTCTCAATCAATCATTCTCCTTAAATGTATGTGAAAAATTCTACATGACTTTAATTCAGGCTGTATATCAGATTTCAAAAGACAACAGCACACATGCCTAAAATATTTTCATAATATGTAAATTACCTGACTTGAGGGAATACCTGAAATTGTAAACGTTTTTGGATTAAATTCAAAGTACTGCACAATTCATTACTCCATGTGTGGCCAGCTGGATTGAAACATTTTAATGTGCTTTGAAGATAAAAGGGATTTTGATTATGATTGTATCTGTATAAAGCTGTATAATGTTTTAGCAACAATGAATTTGAGAACTTTTTTTTTTCTAAAGAGGAACTTTATAACATAAGGACATTTTGTAGTGACGCCTTTAACCTTTAATAAACAATCCCTGCCTTTGCCTGTGGTAAAAAAATGAAACCATGGCCCTGTTGGTAAAGGGCAAGCGGATAAACAAAAATATATCTAACAATGCAATTTCCTACACGCTCACACACACCATGACTTAGCTAAATTTATAAAGGAACAGAGTTCACAGCTCTCTATTACGTCAAGGTAACACTAAAAGTGTTATTCAAAGTGAATTTCTAATTTAAGGCTAAAATAGCTCAAATGGAAGCACACCTGACTTGGAAAATGTGTCTAGTTCAACTATTTTGACCTTGAATTTGAAATTCACTTCAAACACCTGACAATTCTCACTTTAGTGTCCTATTGTATTTTACACCCCACCTCCTATAGATTGTAAGCTTGTTTGAGCAGGGTACTCTTCAACATATCGTTCCTGTAAGTTTTCTTGTAATTGTCTGTTTATAGTTAAATCCCCCCTCTCATAATATTGTAAAGCGCTACGGAATCTGTTGGCGCTATATAAATGGCAATAATAATAATAATAATAATAGTGAATAATCCTCAAACTTTGTAATTTTACACTAAGTTAACAGAGGATTTAATGAGTTTAAATTAGTGAGTTTCTAGCCTGTCAACTAGTAGAAAATGGTATTCACTCAACTACACTATTAGTTTGAGCATCTATATTTTTGGTCATGGTTACAACCGAGGCTACTGGCCATTAATACGTTTTATTTTATTAATGTCCATGAGCCATTTGAATACTGGGTAGATCTCAGCTCGCAGACAAGGCCCTCTTTATCTTTGATGTGGGTATGTGTATATACCCCCCAATTGTACAGCATGTAAGACATGTTGGTGCTTCATAAATGCCAGTAATAATATTGAGGAGACATATAAGAATGTCATGGGTCCATTGAACAAGTAGTAATGTTATATTGCTCTGCAATAACGGGGGTATGTTAATCCAAGATGTAAACACTGTTAGCACTCTTTGCAAGCTCTGACAGAGCCACTGGTGGCGGCATGGCTCATGGGTGGAGCTGGGAATTGGCAAGTTGCCTTCTGTCACACCTTAATTTCTTAACAATTATATCACAAAAGTACACTCTGGCCTGAAAGACATGGGAACAATATACACAAGATTGCAAAATCTTATCGAGAGGCTTTTGTCACTCTGCGGACCCACAGTATGGGCCTCTTTTTTTATCATGTGCCTACCATGGCAACTGTATATGTGTCTCCATATTCAGAACATGTAAGAGGTTTTACAACTGAAATATAAGCCTTTTCATAGCATTTGAACCATTTTAAAGGGACACTATAGTCACCAGAACAACTACAGCTTATGTAATTTGTTCTGGTAAGTAGAATCATTACCTTCAGGCTTTTTGCTGTAAACACTGTCTTTTCAGAGAAAATGCAGTGTTTACATTACAGCCTAGTGATAACTTCACTGGCCACTCCTCAGATGGCTTTTAGAGATCCTTCCTGGGTCATGGCTGCCTAAAATGCATCCAAACATTCAGTGTCTCATCCCTCTGCATGCAGACATTGAACTTTCCTCATAGAGATTCATTAATGAAATTAATCTATATAAGGAGATGCTGATTGGCCAGGGCTGTGTTTGAATCATGCTGGCTTTGCCCCTGATCTGCCTCTTTGTCAGTCTCAACCAATCCTATGGGGAAGCATTGTGATTGGATCAGGCCACTTCTGATGATGTCAGCAGACTTTTTTTTTTTTTTTTTTAGGCAAACAGCATGCAGATCTACAGCTTCAGGCTTAAATACAGTAAGATGTTGATATATTTATGGAGGCATGAGGGGCCCAGGAGGGCTAGATGGTGGTTTTAACACTATAGGGTCAGGAATACATGTTTGTGTTCCTGACCCTATAGTGATCCTTTAATGTTTTTTTTTTTTCTTTTTTCACATGTCTCTTTCTTATATGCAATTTCTGGTGGGTAATATTGTCCTCAAAAGACTAAATAGCTTTGTATAATAATGGTCAATTTCATTTGTGAAGATCAAGGGATTTATTCCATTGGAGCTACTAACAATTCAACAGATCTGGGTGGGGGTTTCTCTTCCAGTTTTTCTATTACCCTTAAAACTAGCATTCTAGTAGCATTTCTCCACAATATCCAAGTTAATTAATACATTCCGAGAATTAACCCATGTGACGGAACGCTGGCACTCCGACTGAGTACCTCCGCCAATCGATGCTCCTAGCGCTTGCCGAGGACTCCAAGCACTCCAACCGACACCATCAGCACTGCAGACCCCACTTCCAGCGATGCAACTGCGCTGGGGTCTCTGCTGTCTCCACCCACCCTGGACCCAAGGCCAGGATCCAGCTTCCAGTGGGTGAACCTCTCTTTCCCCAGAGTACAGGAATAAGCTCTTAGCAGAACTTAGTGATCATACCCTGGGGAGTATAGTGATTACAGCAATCCCCAGAGTGTATTTCTCCAATCCCCCAAACATGAGCCAAGGCTTAATGCTGGAACAAGACTGATTCACTGGCACACAGAACCCACAATTTATGCAACACAAAACTCCTCCTCTGGGCCAGGCTAGACAATTGAGTTTCCACAATACACAAAGCTCAATTATCTGCTGGCCAGAAACAATACAGTTTCACAAAACACACAGGGACCCCAAAACATGCAATAACCCCATAAAAAGTATATCATTGGAACCGGGGGATCTGGGTGAACCACGCATCCAAAATTCACCCAGATCCGTTCAGTACTTTGGAAAATACAGTTCAATGCAGACTCTGCAGAACATATACAGGCTAAATGAAAAACAATCACTGTACAATGTGTCCCCTGCTGCACAGTCCAAAACCACTGCATGATGTCTCCGCGCACCAAACACTGGCAAGACGGCACCGTGTCGAAAAGTCCAAACAGTGTCTGTGAGTTAAAATGGCCGCCATCCATTGTTCTCACCATGTGCTTCTGATACAGGAAATGGTGGCCACCCAGCAACTCCACAGCATGTCCCCAGATGGTTCCCAAAGGGCCAGCAGCAGCACAACACAAATCCATAATGCCCAAATCATGTCTCTAAAGGGCAACACATCCCAGGGGCCACAGTCACAGGGCAAGAGGCGGGCAAGCAGTCCTCTCCAGGCACAAGTGGCGAAGGGCACTTTGTCACAACCCATTTTTGGAAAAGTAAAATATTTTTAGCAGATAAGTTGCAAAACGCAAGTTAATCGTATTGGAGAATAATGTTGGCAGCCCACAAAACTCCACACTTTAGTAATCAAAGAAATTGAAGGTTTGTGGAAAAACAAATTATAAAAAATGATTATATAACCAATCAGTTACTGTAGCTGAGTTGGATCATTTATCCAAATCAGGGATTTTAGCCTAAAATTTGCAAATCTGTTTTCAATGTACTTCAGTTGGGTGTTTACTGAATAAACCCCTAAGTATCCTGAACAGGCACTGTTAAACTTTTCAAGTTAATTCTCATAGTCTGGATTTTGTACAGTGAAAACAAACCAAATTTTGATAGCTGTGGGTTTTAAAAGTAAAACACACACATGTATGTGTTTTCCAGACATGCTTCCCAGTCCTTCGACTATTCTGGGCATATCTCCACCCAAAATTAATTACAGATGCAAAAAAACAGAACACTTTGACATATTTCACAACTACTGTGGTGTGGGAATCTGAATTATTTCAGAGTAATGCGTGCTCCCAGTCCTGATGTATAATGTATTATAGCTTTCAAAGGCTTTTCAATACAGCAATATCAGTCCTGGAATTAAAGCACTAAACAGAGTACCCTGCACTAAGTCTGAGCCTTGAGAGAAATCAGGCTGTCAATTAGACAACCAGAATTCTTAGTTAAAACTGCCTAATATCAATTTTATTGAAGTTGTGCATGTGACTAATGCTGTCTCTCTCATATCATTCTTGAAGACAGTGCATGCATGGACTACGGCTTTGCCAATACTTTCTGCACAGGTCTAAACTTCTAGCACAGTTCACTCAACCATAAAAAGAGCTGAGTGTAAACTGATAACTTTAATATGGCTGCTCTCAGTTCCTATGTGGAGAGTGGAATTGCTCTTGGGGATAAAATACGTATCCATTAAACCCAGGCCTCATTACAGTACTTATTAGAGGATCCTGTCCCGCCATCCTGATTATGTTTCCTGGTGTCCTGCTTCTGGGAACCTTTCATTGGGCTGGCCTACCCCATTTCTAAGCAGGACCACCCATTATGGGCATGGTCATTGATGAGCGTTACACCACTGGCAACTCGCTACCTTGGAGCAAGCCCACATGTTTAGATCTCTTACCTCACAATGGTGGCAGGTATGTAAACTCAACTTTGAACAGGGAATTACTTTACCCACAACCCAAGACAGGCTGAGAATAAAGGTGGCGGTGTAGGATTTCTGCTTTAAAAATTCTGCCCACCCCCACATTTCCTATCTTTCTCTAGCTTTGAAATTCACTCAATTTGTCTGTTCAAACCCAACTGTTATCTATCGTCCCCCTGGTTCCCCTAGTCTGTTCCATTTTTCTGCTTGGCTTCCCTACTTCCTTTCAAGTAATATTCCTTCCCTAATTCTCAGGGATTTCAACTATTAACACGCCCATGACCTCAGTGGCTTCCAAACTCCTTTCTATTACCTTCTCCACTGTGGCCTATCACAGTGAACTAATACTCCTACACATGTAGCTGGTAATACCCTCAATCTTATTTTTTCCAATGCATGCACTATCTCTAAGCTCCACAACACTCCATTTCCTCTCTCAGATCACAACCTCTTATCATTTGTTCTTGAAAGCCCCCTCACTCAACATCCTCACCCTAACCCTCCTCAACTCAGAAGTGACCTGAATTCTCTTGACCTCCAGCAACTCTCAGCTGATCTCCATTCCAAACTCTCATCCATCCCCACCTTCTCCTGTCCCTCTCTGGCTATTTCCTTCTATAATGCTACCCTCACCGCAGGCCTTCACCCCAGCTACAGAGCAGGAGGTGGCTTTGCTTCTTCTCTCCTCTCGTCCTACAACCTGTCTGCCTGATCCAGTTCCTTCCCACCTTATTAGATCTCTCTCCCCTTGTCTTGTACCATCCTTAACACACATCCTCAACTGCTCTATTTCATCTGGTGTTGTCCCTGTTCCCCTTAAGCATGCTACTAAAAAAGCCTTCCCGAGACCCGTCTTCCCCTTCCAACTATCATCACATATCCTTGCTTCCTTTTTCCTCAAAGCTTCTAGAAAGACTGGTATTTACTCGTATGACTAACTTCCTAAATTCCAACTTCCTCCTCGATCCACTTCAGTCTGGCTTCTGCCCCCTCCACTCAACTGAGACTGCTCTTATTAAAGTTACAAATGACCTAATCACAACTATATCCAAAGAACACTACTCCATCCTAATTCTTCTTGACCTCTCTGCTGCCTTTGACACTGTTGAGCATGTCCTCCTTCTCCAAACTCTTCAATCCATTGGTCTCTGTGACAATGTCCTCTCATGGTTCTCCTCCAATTTCTCCCAACGTTCGTTCAGTGTCTCCTTTTGCAATGACAACTCCTCCTCTTGCCCTGTCTCGGTTGGAGTCCTCCAAGGATCTGTTCATGGTCCCCTTCTGTTCACTCTTTATACTGCCATAAGAGAAAATAGCACAGAGAGTAAAAAAGGGGACAAAACATTTTTTTAGATACATAAATGAGGTATGTAGAAGAGGATAAAGATCTAGCTGACTGCTTCAATGAATAATGTTACTGTTTTTAGGATGTTTTTTATGATGCAAAAATATTCTGCATAATCTTTCATCATCAAAGAAATACGTTCTCACTTAAAAGACAAAGAGAGAAATTCATCAAGGCAAAAACAGGTGCTATTCCAAGACAAAGTGCTAAAAAAGAACAATCGCCATGGGAACCAATATTGTTAGAATTATCCACTAACGTATTCAAAATTAATTCTATATTTGTATTTGATAAGATTTTATGTCTACATATGATGCAATGTTTTAATTTACGTGTGCATTTTGTTTTACTTGTTTAAGTAGCACTAATGATGTGTGGGTGGTTTAATATAAAAGCCTTTTATTTTCTGAATTTAAACATTGCCATGTTAATCTCTAAACCTGTTGCTACCGGTAATAATATTTTTTTATGTTTGTTTTAATTCTAGGGTGAATTTGAAGTGCATTATCGTTTGGTAGAACAATATCATGGAAAAGATAATCCTGCTTTTAATTTGCATCTACCCATCATCCAACTATCTCCATGGTCATGTGCTAAGCCAATCAGATGCAAATCACCCAGTCCATATTGTTGGACACCTACCCATTGGACATAGAGTGGATGCATTTCTCCCCAGGGATAAAGCAGCCAGGTAAAGATAGTAAACACATGATTGTACCTGAATTTGGGTGGGGTTCTAGTCAATGGAAAGCAAACTGGCATGAGTTGAGAACCAAATTAAAGGACCACTATAGTGCCAGGAAACCAAACTTGTTTTCCTGGCACTATAGGGTCTTTAGGTCCCCCCCACCCCCCACCCTTAGGGTCCCACTCCCGCTTGGCTGAAGGGGTTAAAACCCCTTCAGCCACTTACCTTTCTCCAGCGCCGGGCTTCCTCGACGCTGGGGAAGTCTCCTCCATCTGCCGATGTCAGCGCTGAATGCGCATGTGCGGCAAGACCTGCGCGTGCATTCAAACCGCCCATAGGAAAACATTTCTCAATGCTTTCCTATGGACGTCCAGCGTCTTCTCACTGTGATTTTCACAGTGAGAAACACAGAAGCGCCTCTAGCAGCTGTCAGTGAGACAGCCACTAGAGGCTGGATTAACCCTCAGTGAAATGTTTTGTTTTCAGCTGCAGGGTTAACACTAGAGGGACCTGGCACCCAGACCATCATCCAACTATCTTCATGGTCATGTGCTAAGCCAATCAGATGCAAATCACCCAGTCCATATTGTTGGACACCTAGCCATTGGATTTTTGTGTGTGGTATTACTGTGTTATTTTAAATTCTCGATTTAGATATGACTACACAAGCTTAGAGGATATGTCAACATCACAGTTACTTTAGGACCTGTGAAGCAACATGTGCTGTTATGCTAAAGACAGTTTTGTTCTCCTGACTGTATTTTGTATTAACAGAAACAAACTCTTTCTGTCCTTATATCACCTTGATACGGGAAGGGCACATATGATGACTAATACTACCAATAAAAAAGAGACTGTCTGAGACAGATCACCGTATTTTTCAGAAAAAAAAGAATCTTGGCTACTGTAACAAATAACCAGCTTATTTACCTGGAGATGAAAGGGTTTAGATTTTTATCTTTGCTACTTTGATCTGGAGAATGTTTGAATATTTGCTAACTTTATCTCAGTAAGGAGTGTATGTAGACATTTGTGAAGTCATATAGAGGAAGTGCTTGCTGAGACATATTTAGGGCTACTGTACATGTATATTTTTTTTCCCTCACATCGTTGCCTATGTGACATTGTACCATATGTAAAAATGGAACAGGGCTTTAATTTTCAGTCATCAAGGGAGTAGTTGAGTTTTGGAAGTATGGAACTCATCTCATTATTCGTATTGGTGAATTACTGAAGGAGATGAATATCCTTGAAGGACCATGCATTATTTTTCATGACTAGTTAGATATCAGAGGATTTAGGGAGCGGTCATGTAAAACATGTAATGAAATTCCTTAATACATATTGATGGCTTCTTTAAATATTTACAACAACAAAAAACAAAGAAAATAGCTACTTGCACACTATCCCTATGCACATTTAAGTGTAAGCTCACCTGCCATTTCAAGGCAAACTTCCTAGGTGAGTCCTACACTAACAATTCACCTTGCTTCTTTCTTTTGGGAGTGCTGGGGTAGATACTTGCTTTCTCTGGGGTCCAGTAGGGCTGCTGGGTGGCCGGCCGGTCACTGCAGTCGTCGAGGGAGCACTGATCCTCCTGTTCGGCTTCCTCACGCGCCGCGTATGCCGGGGCCGGAGTGAACAGGATTATCAGTACTCCCTCGGCGCCCACCCGGAAAGTGCTCCTGCCAGGGCAATTGGGGGTGGCTTTTTTTGCCGTCCCCCAGAAAGTGCTGCCCAAGGCAAATGCCTTGTCAGCCTCACGGAAAATACACCCCTGCATGTAACTATTTTCTTTGTTTTTTTTTTTTGTTGTAGTAGTGGGAGTTTGAGCTCAGGACTTATTTTTGTATCTTTTTAAATTAAATAATATTCTCCAACATGCACCAATAAATGACTGCACAGAAACCTTGCAGAAATCACAGGTACGGTAAACCTAAAGATGAAATGTATGTATAAATATGGGCCATTTATTGAGTTACCAGTAAAATGTAGTCCCAATTGTCGTTTTTAGAAAGACAGGAAGTAATAGAGCATCCAGCAAGTGGCAATTTGGAGCTAATCTGTGCAGAGAGACATTAACCCTTATTGCAGGAGTGGATGGAAATAAACATACTCTCCACTTTCAGTCAGTAATACATGGCCCTGTAGGGCTGGGCCATGAAACGTGATACTTAGATCCACTGGGACAATTTTGAAGTTCTCAGGTATATGGTTATATTTCTATTCATTATTAATTATAATAATAATAATAATAGAATTGCAGATTTTTATGTTCACTTTGCATAAACAGAACATGGCTATTCACTAAAGTGAGAATTGTCAGGCAGTCCAAGTGAAATTTAAAGTTAATTTCACATTTTAGACCAAAATAGCCCAACTGAAACAATGGCTAAATTTTGTCAACTATTCTAGCAACGTACTTTTCCTGTACGAGAAGATACCTCCCACCTTGTGTCATATTACCTTACTAGAATGTAAGTTTGTTTGAGCAGGACACTCAACGGCCTCTGTTCCTGTGCATCCAGCTCATCTTGTTGCAAATACATGTCTGTATTTGGTCCAGTCCACATATTTTACAGAGCTGCAACATTTTCTGTCACTGTATAAATAATAAACATTGTTATACTTAGAGTGTGGGTGTTGCCAGTGGAGGGGCATTAATTACTGTGAGTATTATTACTGTAAAACTCTGCTATACACTCAGATACAATGACAATACAGAGCAGATTGGGGGCGGGGCCAGCATCGGCAGACCCGCATGGTGCTGGAAATAAAGTGAGTTTTTTTCCTTTTATAAGTGGTCTAAGAGGGGGAAAGCTACCTAAATGGTGGGTTACGCACTATAGGGTCAGAATTATATGTTTGTGTTCATGACCCCATAGTGTTCCTTTAAAGATGTACAGTGGATGTGGCCAGGTGGCATGGCTGTTTTGAGGAATTTAGGTTAATTACTAATAATATCTCCAGCTAAAAGGTCATTTTGCATGAGAAGAATGTTTCCTATTGACACAGACTGATTTCTAAACACATTTTTTGCATTTGAAAGACACAATACTGTGAATATTATTGTTGAATATTATTGTTGTCGAATACTGTTATACACTCAGACACACCAACAGCTCCTAGAAAAGAGGGATTTGGGCTCAGAATAGGGACTGTCTCTCCTAAATATGGACTCTTGAGAGGTATGCATTAGAAATACAAAAATATATTCCTAATATTTGTATTCTATGTAGAGGTATAGCATTACAGGGCCCTATGCGTACCCCATGGCTTGACTGAGAACCTTAACAGAATACCAGTTGCAACCCTGATGGTGGCCATGATTGTTAATAGCACATTTACATTAACTTATATAGTGCTGGAAATATAGAGATAGATCAACAATAATGAGTCATACTTGTGCAAATCACTTATACGTTTTTATCTTGACAATACAGAAGAATTTACCAATTGTCAGTTATTATCAATAATTTTGCAGTAAATGTGGCATACAAAACATTACAATAATTCTTGATAAAAATAATAATAGTAGACAAAGAACAGCTTGTTTTGTACACTTTGTTTTATACAGAAAATGTGGTGACTCCATAATGTTAATGGTTAAATGGTTTGCTGATCAGAGATGTATCAGGGAAAAGTTTACACTTCTTATTTCCAATGAATGAGTGTAAACAAACAGTGATTAACTGAGTTGTGACCATAACTGTCATCACTTGTTATCAGATTTATTTTCTTTTATTAGGGGAATTATTGTGGGGATATCAGTCGCCTGTGATTATGCACAGTTGGCCAGTGATGGTACCCAGCTTATCTAATGGTCTTTGCTCAATGGTTCTAAGCCATTTAGAGCTGGATATGCCAACAGAAAGAGTTGATGGATCTCCTGGCACATGGCTTTTAGCTCTGCCGTAACAATCAGCATTGTTTAATATTATTATGCTTTTCTTCTTCTGAAATAGTCACTGTATTATTTAACCCTAAGTGTAAACAGTGCAGTATAAAGTAGCAGAGTTTCTCTTGCGAGAATGTGCCTTTCTCTCCATTGCGCACCTTGTAATGGCAAACTGCAGGCACGAACATTATTGGGGTGCATGAACATCGGGGATCCAGGTAAGTTGTCAAACGGTACTAAAATGGTTTGACTTCTTCCACTGGGAACTAAGCACTAGGGCACACGTGGCACCATAAATACTACATCAGGCTTTAGTGGTTATAGTGCTTAGACTATTTATTTAATTTGCATTTAAAGACTCCATTTTTTACATTGACATATTGCTGTTGATATATTCATTTTTGGGGTTTTTTCTTTCACCGGTTCCTGCACCAACCCAGTCTGCACTCTTGCTTGTATCAAAGCGAAAGATTTATTAAACTGATCTGAACAATGTCCTTTATTGTTGGTCTCTAATCTATTTGCATTTATCAAATTGTTCTAAAAATAGTTCAGCTTTTCCCCATTTTCACAGGAATGTTAAAAAAAGACTGCCAAAATTTGAGTTCATGAAAAAGGGAAAGTTAAGCAGAACATTTTCTGTTGTGTGATGGCACTTGGGTGTAAAAGAAGCAACAGAAAAAACAGATTTGAGCCAAATAAAATACATTACACTGAATAAATAAATAAAAAGATAACATATTCTTTGTGACAATTTGACAAATTCTCACCAATATCATTTTCAGTTATGGTGTATTTAGCTCCTGGGCAATAATGGACCACTTAATTCACCTAAAGCACTTCATCTAAACCAAGTGGTCTGAGTGCAGTGGCCCTGTAGTTTTAACCTTGCGATGTAAAACATTGCAGTTTTGTAGACAGCCATTAGAGGCGCTTCCTGTTCCTCAACTGAGGGAAACTCGGTCATGTGACCAAATGCAGCGTATCAGAATGCACTGAATTCAATGTTTTCCTATGGGAAGCATTTGATTGGACTTGCTCAGTGCTCCAGCACACATCATCCCTGATGCTGCTCTGAGGAATATTGGAGGGGATGATAGCCAGAGAAGCAACACCTCCACCATGATGTCACTAGAGGCGGTGCAAGCAACAGCACTGAGGCAAGTAAAACTTTTTTAGAAATCATTTTTTATGCATACAAAGGGTGAGCTAAATCTAATTAGGGACTGTGGAATTGTAGCATTAATAATACTGGTTTGCATTCCTAATGCTATACTGTTCCCTTTAAATAAGTAGATCTGTATCATTACTGTTTCTTATTTGTAACTGTTATTAATATCATGATTTATTCTCCTGTTTATTAGCAATATTCCCCTATTTTGACAAACACCCCATCAAACACTGTAGATGGGGTACACTGACGTTGTGGCAGGTTTATGCATTGTATGATCATATACTGTAACTAAACCCCCATTATTTTTGCCTTGTTTAGGTGTTTTTAAAAAAACTAATAAAATCTGTAAACTCTGAAGTTGCTGTTTAGTTGATGAGTGAATGCGCTGGATCTTGTATATTAGATGAATAGAAATGATTGATAGATATCTTTCTTCTCTAAATTTGTACTTTAAAGATTGCTATATACTGATGTTCAGGCAATATTTCTTGTAGTCCTTGTAGTTCGTGCAGTGTCATTTGAAACCTTTCTAAGGAGAAAAAAAACAAACCTTAAAGGACCAGTATAGTGCCAGGAAAACATACTCATTTTCCTGGCACTATAGTGCCCTGAGGGTGCCCCCACCCTCAGGGTCCCCCTCTCGCCAGGCTCTGGGGGGAGGAAGGGGTTAAACTTACCTCTTTCTTCAGCGCCGGGCGGGGAGCTCTCCTCCTCCTCTTCGGCTGAATGCGCATGTGCTGCAGGACAGTGGCGGATCCGGGAGGGGGGCAACGGGGCAATTGCCCCCCCCCCGAGAAATCCGCTGGCCTCCCTCTCCCCTGCCAGCAGCACATGCAGGTGCTAGCCCTGCAATGTGCCTGTGGACCGGAGGGGAGATCAGAGCTCTCCCTCCCCGGTCCGCAGGCACCGGCAGGGGAGGGAGAGGGAGGAGAGAGGACCCGGGAGCTCAGGCTGCAGCTCCTCCGGGTCCTTCTCTCGCGAGATTTGCAGCATTGCCGCGGTTACCACGGCAACGCTCCAAATCTCGCGAGAGTGAACTCTAGCCGGGCTAGAGTTCACTGTCCCTACTGGGACTCGCAGGGAATCACCACTGGGACCACCAGGGATCGAAATATGTCCCCCCTCCTCCCCAGTAAAGGTAAGAAGGGAGGGGGGACATAGAATATATATTTATTTTAATTAAATAAATAAAAATATATATTATTATAAAAAAAAAAAAAAACCTACCCTTATCACACACTCTATACACATACACCCCCATACACACACACTGCCCCCCATAGTGCCCCTATACACACATACTGCCCCCCAACCACACACATTGCCCCCATACTGCCCCCCATACACACATATCGCCCCCATCCACACACATTGCCCCCATCCACACACATTGCCCCCCATACTGCCCCCCATACACACATCTCTGCCCCCATCCACACACACGGCCCCCCCATACTGCCCCCCATACACACACATACTGCCCCCCATCCACACACATTGCCCCCCCATACTGCCCCCCATACACACACACATTCTGCCCCCCATCCACACACATTGCCCCCATACTGCCCCCCATACACACACACATACTGCCCCCATCCACACACACATTGCCCCCCATACACACACACATTGCCTCCCATACACACACTGCACCCCATACTGCCTCCATACACACACACATTGCCCCCATACACACACACACATTGCCCCATACACACATACTGCCCCCCATACACACACATTGCCTCCCATACACACACTGCACCCCATACTGCCTCCATACACACACACATTGCCCCCATACACACACACACATTGCCCCCATACACACATACTGCCCCCCATACACACACATTGCCCCCCATACACACATACTGCCCCCATACACACACATACTGCCCCCATACACACACACTGCCCCCATGCACACACACTGCCCCCCATACACACACACTGCAATACTCACACACACACTGCATCCCTGACATACACTGCCGCCCTCACTCACATACTACAACCTTCACACACACACACACACACACACTGCTCACACACTGTCCCCCTCTCACACACACACACACACATACTGCACCCCTTACACATTGCACCACTCACACAAACCACTGCTCATATGCCCTACTACAGCCCCATTTCCCAGCAGACCTCAGGTAAGTTGTCAAACTGTTCTTAAACGGTTTGACTACTTACTCTGGGAGGGGGTCCCGGCACTGTTGACACCATAACCACTACACTGAGCTGTAGTGGTTATTGTGTCTGGATTATTTCTTTAAATAATCTACAAGTGCTCCTCCCGAGATCAGGCTCTGGATCCGCCACTGCTGCAGGAGCTGCACACGCATTCAGCCAGTCTCATAGGAAAGCATTTATAATGCTATCCTATGGACGCTTGCGTCTTCTCACTGTGATTTTCACAGTGAGAAGCACGCAAACGCCTCTAACGGCTGTCAATGAGACAGCCACTAGAGGCTTTAGAGGCTGGATTAACCTATTTATAAACATAGCAGTTTCTCTGAAACTGCTATGTTTATAAAAAACAGGGTTAACCCTAGCTGGACCAGGCACCCAGAGCACTTCATTAAGCTGAAGTGGTCTGGGTGCCTATAGTGGTCCTTTAATGAAAACCCTGATGAAGTTTGATGCATGTGCCTGCCATTTAATTAACAGAAAACAAGTATTTTCAATGTTATTCAAATGTGAATTGTCAAGCATTTACACATTTAGGGCCAATATAGCCAAATTGGGGAAACAATATATTTTGGCATAAAAAAAGCTGCCAGGTAGCTACTGTTATATGCAGTTGGCTGTGGAAGATAAGGAAAAAAGTGAAGCTGGTATGAATGTGGAACATACGGGTTACAGTCAGACCAATGTAAACAGGAATTCTTATATTTACTGTATTTTGTCAGCCTGTTCATCAACAGTACTTTATCACCAGCAGATCACATGCTGTAGCCCTTTAACAACACGACCGGGCCCTTTGCTTTTCGTCAGTGCTGGGAGGAAGTGACGGCTGCGAGTCACTTCCTCCCACTAAGGAGAGGTGTCTGTCATTGTATGTTTATGTCAGTATGTCTGTCTGTATTTGTGTCACTTTGTGTGTCAGTGTATGTTTATATCAGTATGTCTGTCAGTGTATGTGTCTGTGTCAGTATATCTGTCCGTGTATGTGTCTGTGTTTGTGTCAGTATGTCTGTCTGTGTATGTGTCTGTTTTTGTGTCAGTATGTCTGTCAGTGTATGTTTATATCAGTATGTGTTTGTGTCAGTATGTCTGTCAGTGTATGTTTATGTCAGTATGTCTACCAGTGTATGTGTCTGTGCTTGTGTCAGTATGTTTGTCAGTGTATGTGTCAGTATGTCTGTCTGTGTATGTCAGTATGTCTGTCATTGTAAGTCTTTTTGTATGTGTGTCAGTATGTCTGACAGTGTATGTCTGTGTATGTGTGTCAGTATGTCTGTCAGTGTATGTGTGTGTTTGTGTGTGTCAGTATGTCTATCAATATGTGTCTGTCAGTGTATGTGCCTGCGTGTGTTTCAGTATGTCTGTCAGTGTATGTCTGTGTATGTGTGTTAGTATGTCTGGCAGGGGGCAGGATGCAGGGTCCCCAAGCAAATGGTTGCCCAAGGTCCGGTCAACATTAAAGACGGCCCTGAATGTAATGTCTAAAAGCAGAAACTTGGCTTTGTGAGTGCCATCATTACTGAACAATATTTCAGTAATCCAAAGAAGAAAAAGTTTACCAGTCCATGCCTAACCTTTAAAAAATGAATGTCACTTTGTCTCATGTAAAGTGTGGAACTGCACCTAACAAAATGTTTCCATATATTATATATATATCTAGTCATGGGGAAAAGAAAGTACACCCTCTTTGAATTCTATGGGTTTACCAAAAATAAAGCCAGAATGGAGAAGCCATGTGTGACGCTTACTGCTTCCATAGGAATTAATAGGCTAAGTAGGAGACAGTTGCTGCTAATCAGAAGCTCTCGATTAGTTAAAGGACCACTATAGGCACCCAGACCACTTCAGCTTAATGAGGTGGTCTGGGTGCCTGGTCCATCTAGGGTTAACCCTTTTTTTCTATAAACATAGCAGTTTCAGAGAAACTGCTATGTTTATGTTAGGGTTAATCCAGCCTCTAGTGGCTGTCTCATTGAAAATCACAGTGAGAAGACGCCAGCGTCCATAGGAAAGCATTGTGAATGCTTTCCTATGGACTGGCTGAATGCGCGTGCGGCTCCTGCCGCGCATGTGAATTCAGCCGAAGAGGAGGAGAAGAGGGAGGCGCTAAGTTTAACCCCTTTCTCTCCCCAGAGCCCGGCGGGAGGGGGGGGGGAGAGGGCACCCTCAGGGCACTATAGTGCCAGGAAAACAAGTATGTTTTCCTGGCACTATAGCGGTCCTTTAATCATCAGCAAGTGTGACCACCTCTATAAAAGGATATTTTTGCCATTTGTTGGTGTGGAGCATTCAGGTGTGTGAGAACACAATGCCAAGGAGGAAAGACATCAGTGATGATCTTAGAGAATCAATTGTTGCTGCCCATCAAGCTGGGAAGGATTATAAAGCCATTTCCAAACAGTTTAAAGTCCATCTTTCTAAAGTCAGAAATATTATTGGATTAGAAAACAGTCTGTGCAAATAAGATACATTGTAAATGACCATTTAGTTCCCATGACTGTATGTTTATTTCCTGTTTGTATATTGCTAAACTGCTATAAATGATACATAATCATGTGTTGACATTCCAAGTTTGGAAACTAAATACATGGAAATGTTCCAAGCATTCTCCTTTAAAGAACCACTGAAGTCACCCAGACCAATCCATCTCAGTAAAGTGGTCTTGATGCAGTCTACTTATAACTATGGAATGTAAAACACTGCATTTTTATAGAAACTGTTTCCATTGCAGGGTTGACTTCTAGTCTTGCAGACAGCCACAACAAGTGTTTCTGCGTTATATGAGCTTTTGATTGGCTCAGTGCTGTGCTTTGCTGTGCATGCGCACTACCCTGCCAATGTTCTCTACGGGGAAACAATGGATTAGCTGAGTTCATCAGTCTTGATAATCTCAGCCAAGAAGGTATAGCAGCATGATGGAGACTGGTGCTGCGAAGGATGAAAGGTAAGTAAATGTCAACCCTTTTAAACCCTCACAGGCATGGGGGGAGGACCTACATAAGTAGAATTAAACTATATCTTTAGGAATGTTTGTATCCCTAATGCTATAGCATACCTTCCAAGGATCCCTATTTAGAGACAGTCCCTATTTTGGGTCCAAAACCCTCTTTTACAGGAGCTGTTGGCATGTCTGAGTGTATAACAGTAGTCGACAACAATAATATTCACATTAATGTGTCTTTCAAATGCAAAAAATGTGTTTAGAAATCAGTCTGTGTCAATAGCATACATTGTTCTCATGCAAAATTACATTTTAGCTGGAGATATTATTAGTCATTCACCTAAATTCCTCAAAACAGCCATGCCACCTGGCCGCATCCACTGTAACATCTTTAAAGGAACACTATAGGGTCAGGAACACAAACATATAATCCTGACCCTATAGTGTGTAAACCACCATTTAGGTAGCTTGCCCCCTAAAAGATAAAAACTCACCTTACTTCCAGCACCGCCCCCGATCTGCCTTCTTTGTGACATCATCAGAATTGCCGAGTTCATAACAATCCAATGCTTTCCCATAGGGGAAAGCATTGGATTGGCTGAAATCGGCAAGGAGGCAGGATGGGGCCAAGTGCCATTTTAGCCAATCAGAACCTCCCTATAGAGATGCATTGAAACTTCAGCGTCCATGCAGAGCGTAACTGTAGTTGTTCTGGTGACTATAAAGTCCCTTTAATTTTAAAGTGTCCCTCTTTGTTCATTTTAAATTTTTGGAGCAATGCTATTGTGTTTGTTTAACTGCTTCAAAGGCATGGCAAGCCTATGAATTAATTTTTTTTTTTCTGCGTGACAGTCATTGCTTTTAAATTTAAATCAATATTACTTGAATTTGTATTTTGTTTAGTCTGTGTACTGTCAAAAATATGACAATGCTATACATATCCAGGTCAAATATATTATTCCTTCAGATATTTTTCTACGTATTGTTATATACACGTAATCTTCCTGCAAACATATTTAATTTCCTTCTATTTGTGTTTGCACCTCTGTCCCATTTCTGCAGGTATTACATTGCTTTGAATGAAAGTCGTAGTGCTGTGACCATTAAAGTGATCCCCTGTGAGTCACCATTATATTGGGCATTGTACGTTCTAGACAAAAAGGACGACTTGTCTCCGTTAGAAGATGGCTTTAAAGATCTTGGTGGTAAATATATCACTATTATTTATGCTGACTCTCACATCATGCAGTTTAGAGATTAAATTTGTTTTGAATTATATATCTTAGAAAATGTCAGTAATTTTGGTGTTAGTGAAGTTTAGAGGGACACTCTATGTACACCACGCCTGGCTCTATCCTACTCTGTTCTGTCCAATCTTTACAGCAATGCTGATGCTGAAGTTTAAATTTATATTAGCCTACCAACACATACAAACTTTGGACATTATTCATTGTCTGAGAAAGTTCTGCAGTAGTTAGGGTGCTTAGAGTATCCCTTTTAGGCAACATTGCAAACACCTAACACACTTGCTGGAATGCTTTATATGTATCCTCTTTATTTTTCATCTAACATGCTTGTTGAAATGCTTTATGTCAAGCATGTCAAACTTGCGGCCCGCAATGAATATATTTGTGGCCCTCCTACCCTGGGGCCACTTTGTGCTGTGGCTGCGACCAGCCGCAAGACAGGAAAGAGCTTTCCTCTCTGATTCTGCCTTATCTCCCATGGCCACAAGAGGGCAGAGTGTCTGTCTGTCTGCAGAGTAGGCCAGCCACCCCCCCTTCCATCCTGCTCGCATGGCCAGAGGAGCATCTGGCCTGCTTGAGCAGAGCTGGAACTGGAGGACAGGTGGGTCATCTTAAGGAAGGAGAAGAAGGGCTTGAGGGACCTTCCTGTGTAGTGTGTTAAATTGGGAAGGTGGGCACTGTATTAATTTGGGGGAGGGGGCTAGTGTATTAAATTGTGGGAAGAAGTGGGGCAATGTATTAGAGTGGTGGGAAGAGGCTACATATTACATTGGGGGAGCGAGGGGGCACTGTATTCATTTGGGGGACGGGGTGTATCTTAGAGGTGTATCTGGGCTAGGTGGGCAGTTCTCATATATTTGGAGGAACTCTCTACCCTGTTCAAGGGCCTCCTAGGGGAGTGTCTTTTGCTTTGTGGTTTCTACCCCCTCTTTTTCTCCCTGGTGACTGTAGTAAGCACACCTAGCCACTAGCTGGCGCTTTGCACACCTATCTTGCTATATGACCAGAAAGTTTTTCTAGGTATTTGAATAAGCTTCTGGACTCAAGTCCATGGGGATAACTTTAGTCTCCTATATTTAAGGGTGTCCAGTTAAGTTTTTTTTTTTACTATATTCCCAGATGATACTAATACTGTCCCTCCCGCTAGACATTTGTTGATGTGAGTCATATTCCACTCATAGACAATCTGTATAAGTTCGCAGCTCTAGATGGACCTGACTTTTATTTGTTTCCTGTAGATACTGTACAACAGTCTTAGGGCTTAGTCTGGCTGCACCCTGATCATTTATGTGAGGATCTTATACTGCTCACTTTTTTGAGCCCCTAGATACCTGCTGGCGATACTTATCCAATCTGTATTCAGGTCCATTTAGGGACCCAGTGTAATGTTCACTGTTTTTAACTTTTTTCACTTTTTTTCTAATTATTCATTTTTTCACATATACACTTAGGCTATATACAGGTGTTTTGTAAATAGTTTTGTCATTCTCCTTTTTAATCAATAATGGTTCCCTTTTTTTGTTTCTGTGACATATATTAAGAGGTAACTGCGAATGGGAGTGGTTTCCACCCATTAGTTATGAGTGAATCCACGCTCATTCTTCTGCTCTGTTTTGTGTATCCTTATTGAGGTTACGCCTCTCTGTTACCCCCGGTAACCACCTAGAAGGTTTGCTGTTGGTTAGTCCGACACCATAACCTCCTTTTGTTTTCATGATCATACATTGCATAATGACACACAGTCACCATATCACACTCAACCATCAAACACAGTCACCCTTTCACAGTCACAATGCCAGTCACCTCCACCTTCTCACCCATCACATGTAGTCAATCTGTCACAGTCATCCCTCACTCAATGCACACACAGTCACTCCTCACACACAAACAGCACAGTCTTGCTGTAAAAATAACAAACACATAAAGACCACAAGGATCCCTAACATACACACAAAACACTGCAAGCAGCTTTCTCAAAAGCATATACTCCCAGACACAGAGATACACAAACACACACAGATACATATATGCATTACAGTCACAGTCACAAATACATGTTCACAAAGATATACACTAATAGACCAGCCGCATAAATGCTGCCCTAGGGGCAGGCAACTTTCAGCACTCCAGATGTTGTAGACTACATCTCCCCTGAGGCTTTGCCAGCATTATGGCTGTAAGAGCATTATAGGAGACATAGTCCACAACATCTGTCATGTCAAGTGTGTATATCTACGCATGTATGAGAGTGTATATATGTGTGCATGCATCAGTGTGTGTGTTGTCCAAAGTGGCAACATGGCTGCAATGTGAGGGCGATATGGGATGTGAAATATCATGTTAATGTGACAAAATATAGGGGAAGATATATAACAATACATTGTCAAGCCATAAGATTTGCTTTTCCCTCCAAAATCTCGAATTTGCATTGATTTTACTACTGCAAGGGACTTTGGGTGGGCATATGCAAATTAGTTTAGCAAGAAAACTACTTTTTGCCTCGTTATTCTATTTTAAACATGGAATCCTTGAAGTTATATGTGCTGTATACAACAGCTTTGAAACACAACCTGATGCAAAGAAATGCAAAGCCAGTGAACCACTCATGGAAAGCTGTTTTGTTCTTAATGCAACTCATCATCGATCGCTCATCCACAGTGATTTCAATTAATTTAACTTTGAGAGCTGTATTGAGATAATCTGTCATTCTGAGGCCAGACTGATACCTAGGTCTCCCTCGTGGAAGAAATTATTTAACCTTGCTCACACCACATTGCTGTCAATGGAATTTTTTTTTTTAAATCTCACTTTGAGAATGTCATGTAGCTCATCTGTCAGCCACTAAAAATAGCCCCAGTTTACAGAGTGGATCCCCAGGTATTCCTGGGATTTACCGTATTTTTCACTCATAAAACACACTTTTTTCCCCCTCAAAAGTGAGGGGAAATGTCTGTGCATCTTATGGAGGGAATGTGAAGGTTTACTTACCTGTCTTGTAGCGTGGGCCAGCAGCACAGCGTGCACGGCTGTACAGGAACTTCAATTTCAGGTTCCGGTTTCTGGCAGGACTGAAAGGAAGTGCGCACTCAGTGTTCACACTTCCTTTCAGTCCCGCCGGAAACTGGAACCTGAAATTGAAGTTCCTGTACCGGGGTGCGCGCTGTTAAGCCGGCCCACACTACAAGACAGGTAAGTAATTATGGGACACTATGGGACAAGGGGAGGGGGGGCACTATGGGAGGGAAAGTGCACTATGGGACAAGGGGAGGAGGGAGAACACTATGGGAAGGGGGGGGGAACACTATGGGATGAGGGGAGGGGGGAACAGTATGGGATGAGAACACTATTGGACAAGGGGGAGAACACTATTGGACAAGGGGAGGAGGGGTTTAAAGAACACTATGGGACAGGGGAGAAGGGGTTAAAAATCACCATGGGACAGGGGAGGAGGGGTTAAAAATCACTATGGGACAGAGGGAGGGGGTTTAAAGATCACTGTGGGACAGGGGAGGGGGGGTTAAAGATCATTATGGGACAGGAGAGGGGAGTGGGTGGTAAGGAACACTATGGGACAGGGGAGAAAAAAAAATATTTTGAATAAACTGTCCCATAGTAAGAAACACTATGGGACAGTTTGTTCAGTATATATTTTTTTCTGGGTTTCCTCCTCTAAAAACTAGGTGCGTCTTATGGTGTGGTGCGCCTTATGGAGCGAAAAATACGGTAATCCTGCTCACACCAAGTTGAAGCATTGATGGATTTAAATCTCCATTTAATGTGCCGATTGGAGCACTGCGTGCAGCTAATCTTTTAGTATGGGGACACTAACTCTAGCCCCAGCTGACCATGAGGAGTCCCAGGTAATATTAATTTGATATTTCTAAATCTCCATTGTTTGCTTAAAATCTGTAGCTTTTGCATGGACTAGTAAAAGAATTTACAGCTAATTATTATTTCCTATGAATGCACTTAGCATTTCTAATCGTGAGTAGTTTGATTCATGAATAAAATGTAATCTGTAAATTAACAGAAGCTACAGCTTTATTAATCCTTTACAATCTCTCCAATAAGGCAGTAAAAAGGTTTATAGCTGCTGAAGGTTGTGCCTATCATTGTAACAATAATGGTCTCCATGAAGATATGAAACTCCTTGCTTTAAAACAGGAAATGAGGATTTGTAAGTTAATTAAATAGATTAAATAGATTCAAACAGAAGTAGTATATAAGAGTTGATGTGTCAACAGTCAGAATGTCTTTTGCAGTCTGTTAGTGATAAGATTTTTATAAAGAAAGCAAAGCACACACTTGTGAAATTCTAATGAGCTAAGATAACATTGTGGCAGTGTTGGAAAGGAATGAGATAATGTTTTACACTTTCCTGTTTCCCTTAGGATATCATGCTGAACAACAACAGCATCGACATGTTGGCCCTAGGAGATTGTTTTCCTTTCAGGGAAATGGGGAGGAATCTTTTCCAACAATCATGACCGTAGAGGGATTTTACTTTATTGATTTTGTTTCACTAGAATCTGATACAAACTTCCAGGTATTTGTCTGGGATAATAGAAACCAGGCTAACCCATGGCCACAGCTCCCATCAGATCCACGTGTCGATATTGGTTTTGTGGAGGACACCAAGGTTCAGCTTTCTTGGAAACCTAGTCTAGGACCTTCTGACACTGGGACCTTTGAATATTGTGTGTTTGTAAATAAGCACTATAACTTCAAAACTCTGTGTGCCACAGAATTTAACTTGAAGAGACAGTTGGATTGGAATGAACAAGATGACCAGCTAAGTAATTTTGTAAATATAGCCAAGAAAACATCCAGAAACCATGCATCCCACAAAATCAAGAAGAATATGAAAGGTTCATCTGAATGGAATGTCAATAATGATCTTTGGTCCTCCAAACATTTATTGGGAGGACAGAAAGTGTGTGTTGGGAGTGGGACAAATGCCACCATTTCTGGATTGAAACCACGGACTCTTTATTACTTGGATGTGTTTGCAGTAAATCCAAAGTATGGTACAAGTGTTGCTTATACTGGAACTTTCACAGAGACTAAACCCAAACACAGATCACACATTCCAAAAGTTCCTAGTGATGAGATAATGAACATTTTTCTCAAAAGTCATGGTGTTAAGATATTGAATTTGGACCCTCCAGCACATGGCTACAAATGGCTCTATGTTCATTCTTGTCTCCATAAGGTCCACCTGCAGATCACTTCCAATAGAAATACTTTGGTATCCCAAAGTCTCCAGGGGGCTCATAATTTCAAGCTCAGTGTCAATTCAAACAAGTACACCATCACCTTAAAATCCAGTAGAGGTGGACCAGGCTTGGTAAAGCTTTTTACAACTAGTACACCCAATCGCTTGCCTTTCCCAAACTTGCCACCTGACATCAACCTTTCTGTCTCCAACAGATCCTGCTCATCAGCCACAGCCACATGGGCTGGGACTGGGCCAGGGACCAAGGTCTGTATCTTTGTAAGGCATCTAGAGCAGAATTTAGATCTGAAGCTTATCCACAAACACCAAAATAGCTGTCTTAGCACCAGTGCTCGGTCTAGAGCTGAAAAAGTGTTCTGTAGGCAAGAGGGCCCTGAGACCCTGACAGAAGAACACATTACAGATCTTAAGCCTGGAAAAGCCTATCTCATAGATTTATACTTCCTAGGTCAATATAACAGCACCATCAAATTCCCTAGTCATGTTGTGAGAACTCAGGAGCACTGCACCTAAAAATGTCTGAACAACATGAACACTATACTCTAAAACACATTGTATGCAAAACAAAAGAATAAAAAGATGCATTTATGATATTATTCAAATATAACTTGTCAAGGAGGAGAAGAACAGTAATTATAGGAGGTGAACGCATACTTTAACATTTTAATCAAAGGAACTGACACCATTTACTGTAAGGTAGATCCTAAGGCAATAAAAGAGAATTGGAGGTGGTGCAATGGTATTATCACAGTTTTCATAAATGTTGTGAGGTGAGTTCTAATGATTTATTACTTTACTTGTGTTTTATATATAATATATGTTAAATCATTATGTTAAAATGCTTATTTTTTTGGCAATTTTATATAATTGCTTTTGCATGAAAGATCATGCCTGTTAATTAACCAGCAGATATGCATATGCCCAGGACTGGAATTTCAGGTGTGTCCTAATATATTTGGCAACTTCTAAAAGGAATTAATATCAAAAACCAAAGCAAGAGTTATAAATAAATACCATTTAGGAAGGGATGTTTGGGGCATTAGTAGTACTGGACCACCATTTAGTCACATATCCTGTCATTCATTTTTTTTTTATTCCTGATCTTGGTATAAAGAAAACAAAATAGTCCACATTGATCTCACAAAAATGTCAGAAGACAGGTCACAATGGATGTATATATATCTGAAAAGATGTGCATGCATATAAATGAGATATATCTATATGTAAAATATATTATTTAAAACAATATGTACAATATTTATGATGTTCCCTTTTAAACTGGATTGGGGAATGAATGTCGAGGCTGTTAAAATATATATAAGGAACTTGTGATGTTTTATTATGGATATAATGACATCAGAAAATGACCTAATAATTATTATTATTAATAACACAGTTTAGCTTGATCACCACACGTAGGCCTTGATTTAATGCTTTTGGATAAGCTTTTAAAACGATTTAAACATAATACTTTGAAAAATATTTTACTATTTTGATATTTTATCATATACAGATATATGTTTTATATATGATATTTTAACATTTTAAAAAATAATTTTAAAAGTGTGTCTAAAAATATTCAATTATTTGAAAAGATTATTAAAAAAATATTAAATCAAAGCCATATTCCTTGATTTAATATTGTTGGATAAGCTTTCCAAATTACTTAATAATTTTAGATATTACAAACTTTAAATATTTCTCATTATTATTTTATTATTATTATTTTATTATTTATATAGCGCCAACAAATTCCGTAGCGCTGTACAATGGGTGGACTAACAGACACATAATTGAGATCAGACCACTGACGTACAGGAACAGAGGGGGTTGAGGGCCCTGCTCGATGAGCTTACATGCTAGAGGGAGTGGGGTATAGTGACACAAAGGGTTAAAGTAGGGGAATTAAATAGTTTGTTACAGAAGGGTTTATTGAGTGCTTGGTAGGTCATTTTTGACAGGTGAAGGAACGGAGTCATGGGGTGGGGGATGAGAAACCTGCTGACAGTTTAATTGATACGCTTTAATAAAGAAGTGAGTTTTCAAAGATTTTTTGAAGGAATGGAGGCTGGGTGAAAGTCTGATTGAGGAGGGAAGGGAGTTCCACAGAATAGGTGCAGCCCTGGAGAAGTCTTGAAGGCGAGCATCAGAGGTGGGGATCCGGGCAGAGGATAGGAGTAGATCTTGGGCTGAGCGCAGGGGTCTCGTCGGGACATACTTGTGTATGAGGGAAGATAGGTATGTTGGAGCAGCATTATGTAGGGATTTGTAAGCAAGTGCCAGAATTTTGAATTGGGCCCTATATCTAACTGGAAGCCAATGCAGGGACTGACAGAGCGTGGAGGCGTGGGAGGTGCGACCGGACAGGAAAATAAGCCTCGCAGCCGTATTTATTATAGATTGCAGCGGTGCAAGCTGGGAACATGTAAGACCGGTGAGAAGGGCATTGCAATAGTCAAGGCGAGAGAGATATGGGCGGATGCACGCTATGTTCTTGAGTTGGAAGCGACAGGATTTGGCTATCGATTGAACATGGGGAGTAAAAGAGAGATCAGAATCAAAAAGAACTCCTAGGCAGCGAGCCTGGGAGGTAGAGGTGATAGTAGCGCCGTTGACTTGGATGGCGACAGACACAGGAGTAGCAGCACTTGAGGGAGGAAAAACTAGAAGTTCTGTTTTGGACAGGTTGAGTTTAAGGAAGTGAGCAGCCATCCAGTTGGAAATAGCAGAGAAGCAGTCAGAAACACGAGTCAAGGTGGGCGGAGAGAGATCAGGGGAGGACAGGTAGATTTGCGTGTCATCTGCATATAAATGGTATTGTACGCCAAAAGAGCTGATGAGTTTACCAAGGGAGGCAGTATAGATAGAGAACAGTAGGGGGCTGAGGACAGAACCTTGGGGGACGCCAACAGGGAGGGGTTGGGGAGAAGAGGCAGAGCCAGAGAAAGAAACACTGAAGGAGCGCTGGGAGAGGTAGGAGGAGCACCAGGAGAGAGCAGAATCCCGTAGACCAAAGTTACGGAGAATGTGAAGAAGCTGTTGATGATCAACAGTGTCAAAGGCGGCAGAAAGATCAAGGAGGATTAGGATAGAGTATTGGCCGCGAGATTTAGCAGCAATTAAATCGTTGGATACTTTGGTCACAGCAGTTTCGACAGAGTGACCAGCGCGGAATCCAGACTGAAGGGGGTCAAGCAGAGAGTTGGATTCAAGAAAGTCTGTCAATCTGGCGTAGACAACAATCCAGTAATACGGGAGGTGGAGTATCTTAAAAGCTTCAGTCAGTACCTGAGAGTGATGGGTTTTTCTGCAGGATGGTAAATGCATCTAATAGTTCATCATCAACAAGTGTAGCCAGAAAATACGAAATCATTTGGAAAGCTTATTCAACATTATTAAATCGAGGCCATATTGAAATGACACAAATATAATACACATACCTCCTCCTTTTTAGGATTTTCAGAATCACTGATCATGCTGAAGGTGTGGAGCAGGGAAACCTATATTTTCTGATTTCCATAGAGACTGCAGACATTGGATATCCTGCCAATGCATGCACTGCAACTGTGTATTTAGAAAAAAAGAATACAGCACATAAACTCACCAATCAATTTTAAGAGGCTAACTCTTATCTTGCCAATAAAAGCCCAGGCTCTACATTCCATGGTATTTTATTTTTTTAAATCGGGATCTAGAAGAGTGGACTCAAAGACACCAAATCCACAATTCCCTATATAACCATAAATGATATTAGCTATTAAATAGTATAGATTATATATTTTATTATGCTTTCTGTTATTATCATTCCTATATTTTTGTAATGTACATAAAAATGTTTACCATTGTTAATGTTTTTTATACATAAGCCAAAATAAATAAAATTATTTTACCGTTACAAACAAGTGTTTGTCTTGTAATACTACATTGTGTACTGTACATAACAGCTAAATACCTTCATGATAGACATTTGTTTTGCAATGATCTTACAAAATTCCTTTGCACATTACCAGTAGTTTACAAAGAAAAGCATAACAAAGCTATCCTGTGCTAGCACTTTGAACTCTGCTACCTAATTGATGCTGCCTACTAGACTTGGAGATTCGTTTCTGGATGAACTGCAATCAGGCTAAAATTCTTAGGGTAACCAACTTGCACAAGATGAACATGCATGTTCAGTGGTGATTTGGTGTACCGTTCCTTCTATATAATAAGAAGGGTAATGGAATGGAAAAAATATATTTAAAATAAATAAATAAATTAAATAAATATATGTAGTTAATACAATGTTTCGTTGTTAATGCAACTCTCCAGCACAAGGTTGGTTACTGGTTTGCTTATTGAGGCTTGGTAGTGCTTGGGCAGCAAAATCCAATTAGGTTATGGTGGGGAAAAATTGTGATTGAAAACCCCTTCCACCTGAAGTCTGTGGATAGTTAATACAATGTTAAACAAAAATCTGCACCCCAGTCAAGCCATAAGACTTGCTTTTCCCACGGAAATCCCAAAATATGCAGTGATGTTACAACCGCAAAGGATTCTGGGTGGGCATATGCAAATTAGTTTAACAAAGAATCACATTTTTGCCTCATTCCATTTTAAACATGGATTCCTTTTAATCTGTGTTTGCAGTATACAACTGCTTGGAACACAATTTAGGAAAAGATGTAAAACCAGTGAACCACTCATGAACCACTCATGAGCAGCTGTTTCGTTGTTAATGCAACTCTCCAGCACGAGTTGGTTACTGGTTTGCTTATTGAGGCTTGGTAGTGCTTGGGTAGCAAAATCCAAATAGGTTATGGTGGGGAAAAATTGTGATTTAAAACCCCTTCCACCTGAAGTCTGTGGATAGTTAATACAATGTTAAACAAAAATCTGCACACCCGTCAAGCCATAAGACTTGCTTTTCCCACAGAAATCCCAAAGATGCAAAAAACTCTCGTTGAAGCGCCAAGGTCGGGATCTTCACAAAAGACTGCAGCAATCAGCCAGGACAAACAAGGTGCCAAACGGGGTGCAAAACTGGAGGCAAAGAAACAGCCAAAGCAGATATGTGCATAGATACACGCGTTTCGTTTCACTTCTGAAACTTTATCAAGACAACTATATGCTACACACCCATGGTTTAAATACCCTCTCTAATCAAGGTCAGAGAACAGGCACTGAAACCCGGACTGGAATTTCATGCATAATGTTCACGAAAACCTACATATCACCACAAACATGAACATTACAAATAGATGAAATAAAATAAATAAGGTAATAATAATGATTATATCTGTACTAAGATTAATCCATATATATCTTTTTAAGAGTGCATATAACCTATAAAAAGGCAATTACAAATTTCTAGGTGTCAACGGAGCAGGACCAAAATATCTCCGTTAGGCACCAAGTGCTATAATAATAATATTTATACTACAAGTCTCCTGATTAAATTCAAAAGGCAAAGCAGTTATACAGGAGAAGCAAAAGAACAATAAAAAATTATAAAAAACCTAATAAAGAAAAATGGACATAAAAATAAATATATCCAAACGTGAGGCATCTATTGTGTCCATAAAGCATATTGTTCACACCATTAGTAACTTTCGAAAGCCCACCAGTACTGCCATTCAATTTAGAGGGGGCTAATATATTCTTCAAGTTAGGGGCTTTTCTGAATGTGATTTTAGGTCGTTCTGATATACTAAAACATAACCACAGGTCTTTTTTGATGATTGACCAGTACCTATAAAATATACCTATAATATCATCAAATGTCCTATTAAATGTTCTGTGTGTTTAAATATATTAATGTAATTGTATGAAATTGTGTATGCTTGTAAATAATGTTTAGGTGTTCATCTAAATGTAGAGATTGAAAAGGTGCATACATTTTATTTTTTGCAACCTAATAGTTTTTCTTTTCCTCCCAGTTTTGTATCTACCCATCTTTTTCTATGTTTTTCTCCCTTATCTCTGCCCATTTGCCTCTACTCCATGACTCCCAACATGTCTGTTCCCTTCTTTGTCTCTCTATCCACATTTCCACCTATCTATTTTCATCTATATCTTTCCTGTTTGTCTGTTAACCACACTTCTCTTACTGGTGTCTCTCACCCACCCTTTACTAGAACTGTACCTGTCACTCTAGATCAGGGCCGGACTGGGAAAAAAATTAGGCCCGGGCATTTTTCAATCAGAGCGGCCCCCTAAGAAAGGGGCGGGGACAGAGAGTGTGTGTTTTGTCATCACTAATGACAACACGCCCCCTCTCAAAGTGAGCATGTTGGCTCAATGCCCAGAGCCCTGCTGAAGAGCTCTGGCATTAGAAAAAGGCCCTGAATTTGTTCTGCGCAGCGCAAGCAAATGTAATAACATGCTTGTGCTGTGTTTGCTTTTAAATTGTCTCTGGTGTCTCCACAAGTGGGATACCAGAGGACAAAAGGGCCAGGAAAGTGCATGGTGCATATGTTTGGAGCCTGCTTGTGGGATTGCATGTGTGTAGAGTGTGGTGTGGTATTGTATAAATAGGTCAATTTAATTTGTGTTTGTGGTGTAATATGTGTGGCTAGGGGCTGTAGAGAGTGTGTGTATAGGGGGCATAGTTTTATAGGGGATGCAGCGAGTGTGTGCATACGGGCTGAAGTGTGTGTGTATAGGTGACGTAGTGTGTGTAGGGGTTGCAGAGAGGGTGTGTTTAGAGAATGTTGTATGTGTTTGCTGACAAGGAATGTAGTGTGTGTGTGTAGGAGATCTACTGTGTAAAGGACCCAGTGTGTGTGTGTGTGTGTGTATAGAGGATAAAGAGTGCATATAGAGTAAGGGATCTAGTGTGTATCTGGAGCGTAATGTGTGTAGTGGTGCAGTGTGAGGGGTGCTGTAGTGTGTGTGTGTGTGTGTATGTATATATATATATATATATATATATTTGGACTTATTGTATGTGTGAGGGGCGCAGTGTGTGTATGTAAGAGGGGTGCTGTGTGTGAGGGTGTTTTTATCTGCTGTCACATTCTAGGTTTCTAATTTTCTTTGTCTGTTAACTCACTGAGGGTATATATATATATATATATATATATATATATGTGTGTGTGCTGTATATGTGTGGGAGTGTGCTGTGTGTGTCTGGGGGTGCTGTGTGTGTCTGGGTGCGCTGTGTGTGTCTGGGTGCGCTGTGTCTGGGGGTGCTGTGTGTGTCTGGGGGTGCGCTGTGTCTGATGCTGCTGTGTCTGGTCTGTCTGTGGGTGCTGTGTGTCTGGGGGTGCGTGTCTGGGGGTGCTGTGTGTGTCTGGGGGTGCTGTGTGTGTCTGGGGGTGCTGTGTCGGGGTGCTGTGTGTGTGAGTGAATGTATTTTTTTATTTAAATTTAAATATTTTTTTTTACTAATAAAAAAAAAAAAAAATTATTTCCCCCCCTCCCTTCTTACCTTTATCCTGGGAGGGGGGGGAGATCCGTTCTGCCATGGAGGGAGGGGAGCCGTTCTGCCATCCTTCCCTGGTGGCCCAGTGGTGAGAGTGAACTCTAACCTGCAGGTTAGAGTTCACTCTCGCGAGATCTGAGCGTTGCCGCGGCAACGCTCAGAATCCCGCGAGAGGACCCGGCGGAGCTGCTTGTTAGAGCTCCGCCGGGTCCTCTCCTCCCTCCCTCCCTCACCCAGCCGGCGGCCGCATTTCCATGCCTCTGGGCCGGTGAGGGAGATCTTTGATCTCCCCACCGGCCCATGGAGGCACACAGCAGGGCCGGCGCTCGGGTAGCGCTGGCCCTGCACGGGCTGGCAGGGGAGATTCTGTGATCTCCCCTGCCGGCCTCGGCCCCACGGCCATCGCGGCCCACCGGGCATTTGCCAGTCCGGGCCTGCTTGTGTTCCTCCCTCATTTCTTTGTCCCACCGGTCCCATCCCTTCCCACTTTATGTTAGAATCCCTCTAGACCCTTTTAATCTCTACTAGAGGCTCTAACGGGGTCCTAATAGGACTTGAAGTGGGGCTACTTAGTGTCTGTTAGAGAATCTCTTTTCATAAGATCACTATCCAGGCCCATTTAATCTTCATTAGAGGCCCTGTGTGTAATGGGACCTTTGGAAGCAGGCGGGTCACTCTAACAGACACACTTATTAATCTCCAATTGCAAGTTGTAGGGCTTATAAAGTGGAGGTGTTGGGGGGGGGGGAGGAATTCTATTACAGAGACCCCCCTCTCCAGGCACATTTACAATCTGGCCCCCGCAATCCACAAAACCCAAAACCTCCTGCCCTGCCTCTTACTATAACTATAAAGTAAAAAATTAAAAAAAAACAAAGAAAGGCTCCACTTACATTAATTAATAAAAGGGTAATGTGGCCAAATCCAATTTATAATCTAGCATACAGAGAGGCTCCACACAGAGATGGGATAATTTCCTCTAATGCTGCAGCTGCACTCAGAGCACATCCTCCCGTGCACTGTGCACTGTTTGAGACACCGTGAAGGCGGTGCATGCATGGCAAGTGCGTGGCGATGCACACCTCCATTATTCTGGACCGGCTGCACAGGCTATGAATGTGTTTTTCAGGAGCACATGGCGCTCATTGCCCTGATGAGATTATCCATACCAAATCACCTTCCCTGATAGTTTACTCAGTCACAACTCACATGAAAAAAGATCTGGCGATGTTTATTCGTCGTAAGATCTGTAGAATGTGCAGTTACAACAGGTAAAATAACGATTCTTCCATACAGGTTAGGAGAGATACAAGTCACATATGAATGTACAGCATAGAAAACAGCAGAACAGGAAAGGGGGAGGGGAGTACCTGGAGCAGCATGCAAACTATGGAGTGGCCCAAGAGACAAACTTAAGATGAACATTAAAGAAACAGTACATTATAATAAAACAATATCATGTAACATGACATCCATGGTCCTCCT